CAATCAAGCCTGTTTACAGAGGCAAAAGCAGTGGGCTTGTTTTCTTACCCGAACAACAGCCCCCAACATACCAGGGCACCTTGGAAGCATTTTTGTTGTTGTTTTATAGCTCTCTTAAACACAGTAATTTAAACTTAAAACATAACTTTAGCCCTCACAGAGGAAGCTGAAACTGGAAAAGAATCAAGAGGAAACCTAGCCTGCTTCCCCTGGCCAGTTGTTAGCTTTCTCAAAATACCCTCTTTACTTTAATTTTTTTTAAAAAAAATCTCAGAGGAAGTGGTGGGGATCCAGGTCAGTTGGTAGAGTCCTTGCCCAGCACACAGGAAGCCCTGAGATTGGTCCCCATCACCCTAGGCATAAACAGGTGTGATAGAACACACTAGTAATCCCAGAACTCAGAAAGTGAAGGCAGGAGGATTTGGAGTTCAAGCTTATCCTCCTCTACACAGCTAGGTCAAAGCCAGCGAAGGCTCCCTGAGACCCTGTCACAAATAAACTAACAAATGAACAACCCTAGGAGTCTAGGGAGAGCAAGGTGGGCCTTTCTGGGCTGTCTGGGAGACAGGGGTGTTTGCTAGCTCCTACACATGAGGGAGGATGGCAGAAATTCCAAGTGAAAATGTCCCTACACTCCAGTCTTCCTCAAGGGGACACCGCAGCAGGGTGTGGGATAGCAGGAGGCCAGCCACACGTAAGCACGTCACAAGGAGGAGAAGATGCATGGAAGGAACACAGGTATTTGGGGCAGGATCCAGCTGGAAAAACAGGCAGGGACAGGTCACAGCCATCGCCAGTCACCTCACCTTGATCTGCTCCTTGGAGGTAGAACCCTGAGTCCACGAGGCCAGAGGGCTGCATAGGTCAAGGGCTGGGAAGGGGTGGAGTGTGAGATAAAGTGGGGTTCCACTGAAGGGCCTCCTTTGGGTATGAAGCCCAGGACCTTGCTCATGTTGGGCAACATTAGCCTAGAGAAAACTTCCCACGCGTGTGTGTGTGTGGGGGGGGGGTGTGTGCACACATGCATACATGGAAGCAGAAGCCGGAAAAGGGCATCAGGTGTCCTCCATCAATTTTCTATTCCTTTGAGGCAAGGTCTCCCCCTGAACCTGGGGGCTCCAGTTTTCTCTGTTAGTCTGGAAAGCTCCAGTGACCCTCCTTTCCCCGTTCCTCTCAGAGCTGGGATTCTAGTCATGCACCGGTCATTTGCATGGTATGTGGTTTCTGGGACCCTGACTCTGGTCCTCACGACTGTACAGCAAGGGCCCTTAGCTGTGTTAGGAATTTTCCTAACGTGAGCTCTCTGCCGACGCAAAGATCCCAATCAAGCCAAATCACAATAAGCCAAATTAAAAAATTTCCAGGTTTAATGGGATTCCTGCACTCTCGGGTGGCCCCCAGGGGGAACTGGGCTTTGAAGCCACAAATGCGCAGGAGCTTCAGGGAAAGTAATTGAAATAGACTGGGGGAGTGGTCAAGATTTTGGCCTCCAAAGATGGAGGCCATGAGGCTGGGACTTGGGACTTAAAAGCTGTTGAGCTGTCTTTCCAACCCTGAACTTTGAATATTGAGACAGGGTCTCACTAAGTGTCACAGCCTGATTTTGAACTCACTCTCCATCCCAAACTGACCTTGAATTTGGGATCTTCTTCTCCCAGTTTCCCTAGTAACCTGGGTTACAGGCCTGTAGCCACGGGGCTTGTCTTGAACACCATTACCCCCAGCAGGTGACGATAACCATTTTCCCTGGTCCCCACACTCACAGCACAGTCCCTGGGCCTGGCTAGTACCCTGGAGGGCTGAATCAGAGACTATCTTAGTTAAGTGAGTAGGAGGAAGGGTGGGACAGGGCCCTGCAGCGGGGGAGCGCTGGGTTCGAATTCCAGCCCTGGTGCTTGCTTATCAATGCTGACTCATTCCTGAAGTTTCTGTAGTGCGGGGGAACAACACCTTAGTCTAAGGCAGTGGGGAAGGAGTGGGCTCCCGGGTTTTTGACAGGTCTTCAGAGCTGCCCACCTCTGATCCACAGGGCGTTCCTTGGCAGGCCTGGACTGAAGGCCTCCTGCCCTGTCCTTGATTCACCCGTGGGAGAGATGAGTGGAGGGCAAATGCACCCTGGGGGCTCTTCCTCTTTTCTGCTTCTTGCCCAGTTTCAGTGATAGAAAATTTGTTCAGAAGAAGAAATCTCTTGCTTAGAAGTCCTCAGATATGGCTGCCTGAGGCTCCATCTGCCTATCCTGGTCCTGACTCCTGTGTTTTTACCTATGCAGCTAGCATCTCAGTCCTCAGCCTGGGCTTGTCACTCTGGCAGCGCCCCCCCCCCCAACCTGATTCTATCAGCCACCCCTCCTCTGGGACACTGACAGCCCTTCTCGGTTGTGAGTCACAGTGTCACAAACACGTGTGTCTTTCCACCCTGTTGTTATTCATAAGCCACAGTCCACAAAGCCACATCAGCCTCCCTTGGGTCTGTGGGCCTGGAATGTACCAAGTAATCCTGATGTCCCCCGGTAGCGTGGCCATTGGCCACCACGGGTCCTTTTATTCCGATCTTAAGCACTGATGTCACACTCCGCACTTCAGACAGGGGACAGAACGGCTGGAAAAGGAGTGAAAGAAGCTAGGAAGCTCAAGGATCCTACTGGAGGGAGCGGTGAGAGCTGGTATGGAGGCAGGGGCACCTCGGTGGCCAGCTAAGGTAGTCAGAAGCTGGAGGCCAGATGAACCACAGAGCTCAGGGCAAACTGAGGCAGAGGCGAGCAAAGACCTCCTTTTACGGGTCCCAGGAAAGGGAGCTGCCATTTACAGTCTTTCCAAGCCTGATGTCTTCCGTAAGCGCTCGGGTTTGATTTTTCTGTTTTGGCTTTTGTTTTGTTTGTTTGTTTTCCTTTGAGTCTCTTGCCCAAGTTAGCTTTAACTCAGTAAGTGGTCAAGGGTAACCTCGAATTCCCCATCTGCTCCCCCAGGGTTTCTCTGTAGCCCTGGTTGTCCTAGAACTCACTCTGCAGACCAGGCTGGCCTCTGAACTCAGAGACCTGCCTGCCTCTGCCTCAGGTGCTCGGATTAGAGGCGTGTGATACCACCTCCTGGTGATCTTGAATTTCTAATCCTCCTGCCTCTATCTCTGGAGTACTAGGATTACAGATGTGCACCGCCACACCCCATTTTATTTGTTGCGAGGGCTGAACCCAGGACTTCGTACATGCTAGGCAAGCACTCTCCTGTCTGAGCTACGTCCTCAGCCCCACTGGGGTTGATAAGCTGGTGCGCTCTCTCCTTTCTGATTTACCGCGATAAAGTCACACGCACGGGTGAGATGCTTACCATTCTGTGCCTCGTGGGTCTTGCCGAACAGGTGGCAGTGTCTGTGTGCACAGTGAGATTCTGCCACTTCCGCCTCAGCATTTGCTCAAAATAGAGGCAGCTTCTACTTTGTAACAACATGGAATTCGCCACCTAGGGCACAGCCTCAAAGCTGATGTCTGCAGACCAGGAAGCTGGATCAATGTATCTTCTCGGGGGCAACTAAATTCATGACAGTCTGGACCAACCAGGGTACCCCTACTCTCTTAAGCCTGCTCAAGCTCAGGGTGGCTAGTCCTTAGGGAAAGGTGGCTGCTGCGAGGTGGAAGAGACAACTGTCTTGAGGTCTGGGAGACCACAGTTGCAATTGGAGCCATGTGGAGCCTGTGGGGGGAGGGGGGTTGGGGACTGGAACAGTGGGTGAGGGTGGCCCAGCAAGGGGCAGGAGTGAAACCAGGTTCTGAAGACATTGTCAAGCCACCCAAGAGTCAAGTCAAGCTCCCCTCACTCCATACATACTGCACCCCCAATTTCCAGCCAGCCTCTCTCTCTCTCTCTCCCTCCCTCCCTCCCTCCCTCTCTCTCTCTCTCTCTCTCTCTCTCTCTCTCTCTTCTGAGATAGGTTCTTGCTTAGCCCAGTCTGTTTTGACGTAGCTAAGGATGACCTTGAACTTCTGACCTTTCTGCCTCTGCCACTGAGTGCTGGGTTACAGCCACCAACCACACACCATCTCTCCCATGCAGTGCTGGGGACAGAACCAGGGCTTCCCACAGGCTTCTGGCACTGCGCTCAGAGTTGCGTGGACACTAACAGTACTGAGCTCACACTGATCCCCTTCCCTTCCTGTTTTCCTCTCTACCTAACACACGAGGAACTGGGGAATCCCTCAGTAGCATGAGAAGCAGTTGGCTTTGAACTAACCACCTCTTCTCTCAGCCTTCCATACCATCACGCCAAGCCTAGGATTCCTTTTTATTAGACTTTAAAAATAAAGCGGCAGTTTTTCGTGCATTGTAGGCCCTGGCCTACGCACACACAACTTCCTACTGTCACGGCCCCCACCAGAGTGGGCATTTTAACTGTGGGAACTTGAACCCAGAGCCCACAGCTGGAAGTTCTGTACTCTGCCTTGCTAGGGTTTGGAGAATGACTGCTCTGTCATTCCCTGCAGTGTGTCACAGGCTGGAGGGCGTGGGTGGTTCTAGGTGCCTCAGCCGTGGCTCGAAGCACAGCTAATCACACAAGAATGACAGATGTTCTCTGAAAGAGTTGTTGCCAGGCAAATCCCAGCTCAGACCTTGCCAGATGATCCCTTTTGCCAAGTTCTGTTTCCGACACTACACCAGATCAGCCAACCACGGGAGCCTCTGCAACCCCTATAGCAGGGACGAAGGTAGGCTGAATCGATTTGAGCAGAAAAAGATTATCTACCCAATGGAGTCTCCCCAGCCACCCTCTCCCCTTTAGAAGAACACACATCCTTGTTCAGGCGGGAGGCTGAGCTTCCAAGGATGCCTCCCCCTGATTCTGCCACTGATGAACAAACACACACTTTCCTTGGCTATAGCATCGGCTCTGAGTTTTGCAATTAGGTCCATGGTTCTGGAAGGCAGGAAGAACACGAAGACAGTGGGCCTGTCTGTTACCTGTCTGCGATGTGTCTCCCTAGAGGTGGTACACGAGTCAGGGGCTCTGTGCTAATGGTTTATTGAAAGGGCTCTTTGGAGAAAGGAAGGTTTCCAGGGAACCAGGGAAAGACATCAGGCCTGGGAAGAGAGGAGCCTTAGGGACATCTCACCACTCTGGCCTCAGGAGACATGTGGGGTGTTAATGTCACCCAGAGAGTCCAGCACAAAGGAACCTTTAGAAATGGGGAGTAGTGCCAGCCCAGAAGGGCTTCCAGAGGAGGAGCCCCTGAGTCTACATTGTAGCAGGAGACCCCAAAGAAAGCACAAATACACAAGAAACAGCAGGCCAGGCCCCAACACCCAGAGCAACAAGATTACAGCTTCCCTCAGCCCTCAAGTCCTTGGTGGTGGTGTCCCTGCTGGGTTCTAGGAGGCTACCTGGGCACCAGGTTGCCAACTGAAACCAAATGGGGCTAGGGAGAAGGACACAGGCCAGAGGGCTGGGATCTGAACTCATATGTGAGATCTTCTCCTAGGCCCAGAAAGACCGGAGTTTGAAGGAAGAACAGCCAAAGATAGACAAAAAGGTCCCTTATAGCAGAGAGACACCAAGGCGAAGTCCTCAAGCCCAGGCCCTTTTGCAAGGAGCTGGTCCAGGAGACTAGACACTGGGGTGGGAGGCAGCAATTCTGCAGGGGACTTCAGTGCTCGACATGCCCTGGAACAGGGTGCAATCTAGGGAACAGATAGTGAGCTCTCCTAGCATATAGGAGTCTTGCCCTTGCAGCTGGGCCGCCAGTAGATCCGCAGACGCTTGTTGTAGGTGCTCAGGTTTTCCTTCAGGCACGTGGCCAGTTCCTTGTCACAAGCGCACAACTGCTTCTCACACTGGCTCCCTTGGTCAGCTGTGGGTGAAAGAAACAGGGGTTGACTCAGTATCTGTCCCTTCCTGAGACTGCCTGTGGGGTACAGAGGGGGTCCCAAAAGCAACACGGGGTCCCTGCTCATCGCTGGTGATACCACCAACCCCAAGTAGCCTCTTCGGATGGTGTGCATGCCCTCCACCTCTCTGTTCTTGCTCCCTTTCCTGTGATCACATCTGTTCATTCTACAGTCACTGAGCAGCTACTGAGAAGCTGGTCCTGGAGGGAGGAAGCTGAGCCAAATGGACAGGAGGGAAGGCAGGTGGTAGAGGGTCACAGAATGAACAAGCCGTGCCAAGCCGAAGCATGGGGAGCACAGGCCAGCAGGAGGACCAGGCAGTGTGAAGGAGCCGTCCTGGCTCAGATCAGCGCTCTGAAGGGAAGCTGGGATAGTGAGTGAGTATCCCCACCAGGTGAGCATCTGTGTTAGCTTCTGTAGCTCCATTAACCTTAAGGTGAGCTGTTATGAGGGTCCAAGGGTTGTAAAAAGAAAGGCCGTATTGGGGATACCTATGTGTTCCCCCACTAGAATGGGGATGGCTAGCATCCCCTGAAGTTCTTCCTATCTTGATTCGGCAGATTACCAAGGAGGACACTGAATTTGAGAGAGGTTAAAAAGTGTTGAGCACACAGCTGGTCAGTGATGGGCCTGGCATCTGGATAACAAAATGGTAGGGTGTCCCCTTGGTCCTCTCCATACCTCAACCCTGTTCTGCCTGTTCCCTACTGTCTCATGGGAGAGGAACAGCATCAGCTGGTGAGTGTTTTACGTAATGTCACTAAGTCTACGGAGGCAGGGAGGGCTAGGACTTCCCAGCTCCAGCCCTGGGCCCTCAGATACTCACAGCAGTGGATGACGCCCTGGGAAATGTTGTATCTGTAATTGTCCGTCATGGTTCTGCATCCATCCGTCTTCAGGTGTTCATAGCAGCAGTCGTGTTTTTGACAGCACCTATGGGGAGAGGCAGGCAGGGCACACCGCTGTAGGAGTTACTGGTCAGCTCTGGTCACCACCTGTTCCCCCCACATGCCCACCAGGGATGATCAAAGACATTCGGGTTCCCTTGAGGTCACGAGAGCTCTGTTGGTCAAGGGTTCCCATACACCAGACACTTGTTCCAACCACGTACTCTCTCTTAATCCCCATGACTTGCCCATGATGGAGGTGCTGGTATCACCCTCATCACAGATGAGGAAACATAAATTTGGGGCTTGAGACCCTTGACAAAGGTCACGTGACTTGTCTGGCTGACCCTCCAAATGATTGTGAAAATCAAATAAGAAAAGGCAACGAGGTTGGGCTTCAGAATACCACATATAATGACAACAAGGAGTGTGGGATATTAGTCCCAGGTTCGGAAGATGCCAGGACTTCAAGGCATTCTGGGGAACCTTCTAGAAGGCCAGTTCCAAGAGGACTGGGGTTATATTAGCCTCAGCAGAGTTCCCAGGACATAGTACATGCACTACAAAATGCGTTTTATAAACATGGAAGGAAGGAGAGAGTCCGAAGTAGGCCAGGGAGGGGAGTATACCTGTCTGTGTCATCTTTGGGTTCTCCTTTGCCACCAAATCCACAATGACAGCCATAAAACCGGTAGCTGAATAAGGCTGTCTTCCCAGTCATACGTTTGATCATCTTGTTCAGGTTCAGGATCCCTCCCTGGGTTGGAGTTATACCTGCCACACAACCAAATAAGGAAGGAAGGGGTGAAGGTCATGGGGGTACCAAGATCCCATGGGGGTGTGGGGGCTCAACTGTGCTGGGCCAGGCAAGGGACTTGAAATGATGGTGCTATCAAATAGTGCCAGCTGCCACTGGTATTTTAAAAAGTGTTGGCTAGGGTAGGGTAGCTTGGTGATCGAGCCCAAGTTTAACATGTGTCAGCCCCGAGTTCTGTGCCCAGAACTGAGAAGGGAAAATAAAAAATACAGCGACTGGAACTGAGTCCTTAGTAACAGGTCTCTCAGGTATTAATTTCCTGATTCCATCCCCCTTTTAAAGGTTTATTAAGATTATTTTTAACTCTCTTTCTCTGTGTGTGTGTGTGTGTGAGTGTGTGTGTGTGAGTGTGTGTGTGTGAGTGTGTGTGTGAGTGTGTGCATGCGTGTGCATGCGTGTGTGGAGACATGAGTGCAGGTGCCTTCAGATGTTCAAAGACTGCATAGAATCAGGTGCTTTTGAGCAGCCTGATGTGGGTGCTGTGAACGAAGCTGGGTCCCCTGCAAGAGCCGCAGGTGCTCCTAACCCCTGAGTCATCTTTCTAGCCCCCTCCATCCCTTTTTCAATAAATGAACGTCTACTTTGGAACAGCTTTAGGTGTACAGAAAAGTGGCAGTGATGGTCTGGAGGGCTCTCATTTCCTCCTCTCTCAATTTCTTCCAACGTGATCGTCACACATCACCGTGGAGCTTCTGTGAAAATCGGAGTTGGTACATGGGGTGGGTGCTGGGAACCTCTTATTTTGGCAAGGAGAGTTGAGGCAGTGTCTCAGATAGCACAGGTGTGGAAGTAGATGAGACTGACCTTGAATTCCTGACCCTCTTGCCTCTACCTCCCAAGTGCTTGGATTATGATCTGTGCCACCGTGCCCGGCTGGGAATTCCATTTTGTTGTTGTTGTTGGGACAGTCTCACTGTGGAGCTCTGGCTGACCTGGAACTCATTATGTAGACCGGGCTGGCCTTAGATTCTCAGAAATCTGCCTGCCTCTGCCTCCCTTGCCAAGAGTGTGTGTGTGTGTGTGTGTGTGTGTGTGTGTGTGTGTGTGTGCCTGCCTATGTGTGTACCTGTGTGTGTTTGTGCATGTCTGGGCACATACAGATGTGAGTAGAGAGAACAGAGGGAATGCTGCCCACTTTCCCTTGACACGAGGTCTATCATTAGCCTCAGGTTCACCATTTAGGCTGGACCGGCAAACCAGTGAGACCAGCATCCTCCTGTCTCTGTACTGAGATTACAAGCACAAACCACCCCACCTGGCATTTCCCACTCAGATTCTGAGGGCCAAACTCAGGTTCTCATGTTTTCAAGGCAAGATCTTTACCAACTGGGATGTCCCCCTAGCCCAGGAATTTCATTTGTTAAGCCTCATTTTCCGAATGAGCAGATAGAGGCTCCCTGATTTACTCAAGGTCATAGATGGAAGAAAACCGAACCAGAATCAAACCTGATGCTGTCTGGCTTCTCTGTCTCTGAGCATTGATTTCCAATTCAGAATGAGGAGAGAGGGCCTGACTCACCCTCCTCCCATGACCAGTGCCTTCCTCTCTAGAGAAATCTGAGTTTTACAGCGCCTGGTAGGTCTCTGAGGAGGCAGTGTGATTTAAAAATCAATGCTGCTCATTTCAGGCCTCGTAGCTGCTGGCTAGAATTGATCTTAAGGGAAATCTGTTTTATTGGGAGAGAGGAGCACATTATGTTAAATTAGGAGAAATAAAATATATGGAATCGATGAATTCTGGGGAAAGTTGGGAGAAACAGACGAGATGAGGACAAAAGAGTGTGTGTCGAGAACGCAGGAAATGTAGGTCAGGGGCAGCCACAGGCTTAGGGGAGATGGGACCAAGCTGTCCGTTCCTGGCCTGGCATCGCAGTGAGTTCCTTCAGGAACACAGTAAAAATGAAGGAGAACCGAGGCCCATGCTGGAGGACTCTAATGTGAGAAAGGAGGCATTGGGAGACATTCATGCAGTGGACAAAGAGAAGGTCATAAACAGGTGGTCCTGGGCTGTAATTAGAAGTGACTGGCTATTGTGTGGGTGGTGGTGTCCTCTCTGTGTGCACACTCCTGTTTGACACAGTGCTCCTGGGTAAGGGATGTTAACTACAGGCCTAGCTAATCCTTGACTGTTCTGATAATTGACCCCAACCCCCCCTCCCCCCCAGAAATCATCCAGGATAGCCACCTGGATGGTGGCTCAGATTCCATGATGGAGATCCCCAAAGCAATTGACTGCAAAGACAGGATCCACCGTGGGCACTAACTGAAGATCTGAATTCAGAATCTTGCCTTTCTTGGCCTCTCTGTCTCTCCATGTTCCCCATACCCCCACCCCAACAATTTTTCCCTCTGTAACCCAAGGTGGTCTTGAACCCATGACTATCCTCCTGTCTCAGCCTCCCGAGTGCTGGGATTCTGGTTGTAAGCCACCAACCATACCAGGCTTGCCCTCTAATTCTTTGCTTCGAAGCTATCCCTATCAAGTTCAACTCAGCTCCCTCCCGAAGGGGGCAGCTCTCCCTTGCCAATGCATTCAGTTGAAATTCTCTGTGCTTTGTGTGGTTTGGCAGTGAGTCAAACCAAGCCTGAGGAAGTAAGCCCAAGTGATGTCTACCAAAGCTCGTCAGAGATTTCTATCTCAATAGCTTGTCCTTGGTTCCCCTCCATTCCTCCACTCCCAGGGATGAGGAATATATGGTCAGAAGAATCACTTGAGGGAAGAAGATGATAAGCTCTGTGTAAGGCTTGGTCACTGTTTTTCTCACTAGGATGTCTCCTCAGCAGCAGAGAGAGGATGCTGTGGAGCTGAGGAGATGAAGAGGTCAGGTGGTTTGGCCTAGCGTGTATTGCCAGGAGGTGGTGGGTGAACGCGGATCCTAAGAAGTGTGTCTCTGCCTTGTATTGTCTCTATGTTGAAGGATGAATTTCTGTAGTTCCATTGCGTGCTTGTTAATGGGCTTCCCTGTAGCCCTGGGCAAGTGTCCCTCTCAAGGGTATGGAAGTCCCAAGACAACAAGACAGTGTTTCTTTGTGTAGCCTTGGCTATCCTGGAACTCTCTCTGTAGACCAGGCTGGCTTCAAAGTCAGAGATCTGCCTGCCTCTGCCTCCCCAGTGCTGTGATTAAAGGTGTGTGCCATACTGCCTGGCTATAAAATCACTTTTAAAAAAATGAATGAGCTTGCCGGGCAGTAGTGATGAACGTTTTTAATCCCAGCACTCAGGAGGCAGAGGCAGGCTGATCTCTGTGAGTTCGAGACCAGCCTGGTCTACAAGAGCTAGTTTCAGGACAGGCTCCAAAAGCTACAGAGAAACCCTGCCTCAAAAAAAAAAAAAAAAAAAAAAAAGAAAGAAAGAAATAAAGAAAAGAAAAGAAAAATGGATGACCTTTATAAAATCATGTATCTTGAGATGGATTGAGAAAATGAAAGCCAATATGCAAGCAACAATGTTTTTACATCTGATCTTCTAAAGAGTAAGTAGAAACTGTGCCCGGATCCCTCCCTGCCAGCGGGAGAGGGATCCTCTTCCCAGAATGCCACACAGTTCAGTCTGCCCCAGATCTCTGGCTGAAGCCAGAAGCATCCTTTGATGAGTCCTTGCTGTTAGTGGAGATGTTAGGAACTGCAGTTCTAGTGTCCCCAGGATCAGAGCAGCCCAGGTTAGGGTGGGACACTCAGGATCTACCTTCGATCCTGCTTCCTCCCCAGCCTCACACCTATCCCCACTCACCAGCCAGCAGCAGCAGGCCACACAGCAGGGCGAGTCTCATGGTTCCAGCACAGAGTGAGAGCGGCAGCTGACAGAAGTCCCTTGCCACGTAGGCAGTCCCTTATATTAGGTCCCCTGACCCATCCTACCCAAGCCTTCCCAGCTCCTGCGGGATCAACCCATGTGCCTCTCGCTTCCTCTTTTCTTTGGGACATAACCACAGACACAGAGGAAATTCAGAGAATCATTAGATCTTACTACAAAAGCCTATATGCCACAAAACTGGAAAATGTAAAGGAAATGGACACTTTTTTAGATAAATACCATATACCAAAGTTAAACCAGGACCAGGTGAACAACCTAAATAGACCTGTTAGTCGCGAAGAATTAGAAGAGGTTATCAAAAACCTCCCTACCAAAAAAAGCCCAGGACCAGATGGCTTCAATGCGGAATTCTTCCAGAACTTCCAAGAAGAACCAATACCTATACTCCTTAATGTATTTCACAATATAGAAACAGAAGAGGCATTACCAAATTCCTTTTATGAAGCTACAGTTACCCTGATACCAAAACCGCACAAAGACTCAACCAAGAAAGAAAATTATAGACCAATCTCACTCATGAACATTGATGCAAAAATCCTCAACAAAATACTGGCAAACCGTATCCAAGAACACATTAGAAAAATTATCCATTATGATCAAGTAGGCTTCATCCCAGGGATGCAGGGCTGGTTCAACATACGAAAATCTATCAATGTAATCCATCATATAAATAAACTGAAAGAAAAAAACCATATGATCATTTCATTAGATGCTGAAAAAGCATTTGACAAAATTCAACATCCCTTTATGATAAAAGTATTGGAGATATTAGGGATACAAGGGTCATACCTAAATATAATAAAAGCTATATACAGCAAGCCGACGGCTAACATCAAATTATATGGAGAGAAACTTAAAGCCATCCCACTAAACTCGCTTCCTCTTTTCTATGACTCTGGGGTTGTGTTACTTTTTTTGACTTATTGGGGTCTCCACCAGGTTTTTGATAAAAAGGAAACATGTATCTAGAATGGGAGATTTGGCAAGCGCCTTCTAGGTCTAGGGGATGGACCCCAAGGCCTTGGATAAGCTAGGCAAACACTTTATCACTGAGCCACAACCCCAGCCCTATGGCCCAAGACTTGAAAAACACACAACCTGAAATGCAGGATCATTTGCAGAAACAAGAAACATGATTAGCATTTTGGTTTATGTCCTTGTGGTACTGTTTTGTATGTATGTATGTATGTATGTATGTATGTATCTATCTATCTATCTATCTATCTATCACCTATCTATCAATAATCTATTATTCATCTAATATCATAAATAACATCCACCTAATATCAAATAATAAACCTAATAGCATGAAACTCATAATATGAATATCAATAGTCTATCATCTGCCATCTATGTAATCTATTATGTTTGTCTATCTATTGCCAATCAATATAACATTAATCATCTTTCTAATCTATTATCTATCATTCTATCTACTTGCCTATTATCTATTAGATGTTTATGTATATACCTTTTTCATTTTTCTGCCTCCATATTTTCACTATACCAAACTAGGAAAACGTTACATGCGGCACTTTGTACAGTTAGTCCCCACCCCACCCCAGACAAGGTCTCGTGTAACCCAGGCTGGCCTCAAACTCTTCATTTAGTCAAAGATGACCTTGAATTTCCCATCCTCCTCTACCTCCCAAGTTCTAGAATTACAGCTGTGTGCCATCTGGCTCCAGGCTTGGCACCCAGGGAGGGCCTCATGAGCCAAGGCTAGCACTCCACCAGTTGAGCCCCAGCCCCAGCCTGAGTCCTTTCGTCCACTTCCTGGTGTGAGCTGAACGTGTTTCTCCATTGTTGAGCATCTTTTAGAAGGTGGTTTTGGGAAGCAGCTTCACACTTTACCACTGTACTGACTGCATAATGAGTCTTGTACAGACGGACACACAGGTTGTTGACTGTATTTTATCATTCAAGTTCGGCGAAGGAGATGTCCCGATATCCCAGCTGATGCCCAACGATTGCATCACGTGGGTTTGCTGACTCAAAGAACACCCACGTTTAGAAGGTCATTGACCTGTGTTGACAACTTAGCCTGCAGACAATCTGTCCCAATTTACTCCAGAGAATCCCAATGTGACAAATGACAGGGACCCAGCCAACAAGGGCGGAGCTGTTGCCTGAAGGACACACCAGGGGACTTTGTCCATCAACAGCAGAGATGGGGTATTCCATGCTTGTAGGTGACTGTTGGAGACAGAATGCCCAGACTGACCTTCTTGCTTCTGGTCAATCAGTTCATTCAAAAATTGTGACAGCAGGTTCCTTCCCTCTCTCCCTCTCTCCTTTCCTTCCTCCCTCCCGCTCTTCTTTCTTCTTTCCTTTGTTTTAGAGTCTGTCTCTGTGTTCCAGTCCAGTTTCACAGTTGTGGTTCTTCGGTCTCGCCCTCACGATTGTGAGGATTCCAGAGCACTCTACCAACTGCCCTTTTGTTTCTGAACTCAATCAACCAACTAATATTCATTTATGAGAAAGCCATGTACATGTGAAGTCGTTAGTCAGGCACGGTGCCTTCTGCAGTTCATCCCAGCATTTGGGAGGCTGAGGCAGGAGGATGACTGCAAGTTCAAAGCCAGTCTGGGCTGCATAGAGAGCTCAAGGCTGCTGGGCTACCAAAAATTCTCTCGAAAGCAGAACAAAATAAAACAAAATGCCCCTTACCCAGCAATCTTCTGAAAAGGAGGAAGCAACTCAACAGCAGAGAAACTCGAGGCTTCTGGCTTATTCTCATTTGTATAAGTCACTTAGTGGAGGGGTGATTGGCATTCAATAAGTTTTAAGAAATGTGATATTTAACTTGATGGGTGTGGGGGTGAGCGTTCCTGTGAAACTGTCACTCCTGTGGAGGCTGCAGACAGGCCCGTGGCCTCCAGCGTTTTCTATGACCAGCTGGCTCTTGGCTGGTCTCCACCTGCTCAATACTAGGCCCGTGTTCCTGCCCACATGCCTCTTTAACCGAAAGCAACCTTCTAGATCGGGGTTCTTGATAGGGCCTGCGGCCACCTCCCCACTCTGACCTGTCTTGGGCAGGAGGCACAGTAGCTGGGTCGGGCATCTCTCTGTTGCTCCCAGAAGGCCACAAACAGAGATGAAAACCCCTGCCTCACTGTGGCCCCTGATTTATGTTTAGCAGAGCCAGGGCACACCTGACAGAGTGTTCTAGTTCTTTCTTTTGCCAGGTCTGGGGCCCTGGGAAAAGATTTTGCCTCCATGAAGTTCGGTATCCTCATTTGCAAACCAGGGTCGAGGGTTCCTCACTGTTGTGATTGCTGGAAGTTTTTTGAGGTAAGTTGGTCAAAGCATACCACACTTAGCCACCCAGTGAAGGATGCCTCCACAGAATCGTGCGTGGGGTGGTAGAGCTACACGGAGTGGAAGAGGGCTCAGGAGATGGGATTGATTCAAAGGCAGGCTACCCGGGTTAAAGAGCCTGCCATTGTCCCAGCAGCTCAACCTGCAGCACGTCAATTTGCTCTGCCCCTTCGAATAGTCCTGTGTGAGAAAGTTCAAGGGTGCCACCCATGGAATAGGAATGTTGCAAGGTGCAGAGTCCACATGGTCTAGAAAGCACCCCCATTAGCTCAGGCTTGGCCCTTTTATGGAGATATTGAGAAATGAGGGGGCTTTACGAGGTGGGGCACCGCATCATGGTGCACATTCGTAACCTCAGTACTAGGGAGGCAGAGGCTTAACGTGTGTTTGAGGCCAGTCTAGTCTATAGAACAAGGTCTAGGCTAGCACGGGCTAGATAGCAAGACCTATTTCAAAAGCAAAACACAAAGAGGTGAAGCCTGGTGGGAGGCCATTATTACCCCTCCCTGTCTCTGGCTGCCTATCTTGCTGAGGTATCTCTTCCTCTCACAGGTACGCCTCCACACTCCCTCACAGCGCCAGCAACTGAGGTGTGACTCAGTCAAGAAGGCCTTCACCCCAGAAAAATCTGCAGAGCCACCTTGTCTTGGACGTGTAGTCTTCTGGGGCGTGAGCTGCATGCACTCACCTCTTTTCTTTATAAAGGGTCTAGCCTGGGGTCTTTCAGTCGCAACAAATAAACTAGTCTGGGACATGAACAGACTTTGGTCCACAGCTAGAGGTAAATAAGTGTTAGCCAAGGTTTACCCCCTCATCAGCATCATCTGCTTCATCTTCATCCTCACCGCTTAAGGTACCCAAAATAAAGAGTTTACCTCCTCTTCTGCGATGTCTAAGCTACTGTTAATCTTATCTGATGTCTGTCTTAGTTCGATATAGTTTTCCCTATATATAAACTTATCCGGGTCTGTTTTTTAGACCTTCTATGTTTTTCACCACATTTAAGCTTTCTTTTATCTTTAGAAGCAGACAGGGTTTAGTTGGAAACCTCAGCGCTGCCATCTGGGTCACTTCAGAGGCTTTGTCTGTGGTTTGATGGTTTCTCTAGAATAGAGTTTTAGAAGGTGAGCTGGTAGAATCAGAAGACATGAGAGTCTCAGGGAGACATCTGCGTGGTTTTAGCAACCCCTGCCACTTCTTCCATTCTAGGCAAAGTGCCCTTGGGTGTCGGGAAGGCCCTGGCTCTCTTCCCTGGTCAAAGCTGGGGAAGGCTGTTGCTAAGACCACTAGAGCACAGCCCAGCACACTGTCCAGCTGGTTGGTGGAAGGAAAGAGGAAGGACTTTGGATGTCAGAGACAAGATTCTACAGCAACAGCTACCAGTGGGGGCTGTGAGATTGGCTCCATCATGAAAGCTTGTCATGCAAGCTTGGGAATTTGAGTTTAATCCCCAGACACCCATGTTAAAAAGCCAGGCACGGTGGTGCATGCCTGTAATGCCAGTGCTGGGGAGATGGAGACAGAAGGCTCCCTGGGCTTGTTGGCCGGCCAACCCAGGACAAAATGAGAGCTCCAGGTTCTGTGAGAGAGGCCATCTCAAAAGAAGAGGTAGAGACCGATTGGGGAAGGTACCTGATGTCAAACTCTGGCTTCCA